AAGGACTTTTCTAGTCCATTTAATGGCACATTTGAGCTAACGTTAGCCATCAACTCTGTCACATTAGCGCTTCGTAATTCTGTGTTTTAAGACATACAACCAGGTGAAGTGTAGGTGAACATCAATATCCAGTTATTCTACAATGCTGCTTCTATTGAAATGCAAAGCAATGGTCACTTACCACAGACCTTGGACGAGGAAAATGGCGCAGTAAAAATTCCAGTTGGTTGAAGGTTGAAATCCAAGAGAGGGAGGTGGGTGGGTCTTTCCGGAGTAATTCTTTCACTAAATCTTTCAACTGCGAAAAACTATACCAACAGTGGAGGGATTTTACTCTAGCTGTTGTTGTAATAACCATGGAAGAATCCATGTACTTTGACACTGAATATGTTTGACTAAGGAATCTACTGTGTAGCTAGCTTGTGTCATGTAGATGAATCGCTGGCGGAGCCGGCAAGATGGCGGACCGGACAGGCTGCACATTGTAAGCTCTTGCTCAATTGCCCCGAAGTTTACCTAAAAAAACCCCGTTGTATTAACAGTCGAACAAATTTAAAACAGTAAAGCAGACTTTTGGAAAGTGCATGCACCGCTGTGAAATAGAAGATGAGCCCTCAAATAACTTTTGACCGAACATGCCGAGCGGGAAAGCGGGTGTTGGCCTAATGTTAACTGCAGCTTCAAGCCTAACAAACATGAGTGACCACGACTACACGCCGATGGAAACTTCAACCAACAACGCCGGTAAGAGGAAAAATCCCCCTGCTACCCCAACGAAAGTCGCAACACCTCCTGCAAAGATGAAAATGCCCGAAGAGACGAAAGAAATCCCACATACAACCCTGGTCCAAGCTATAGAAAAGCTAACCACCAAAACTGATAACTTCGGTGAGCAGTTAAGGGAGAACTCCATCATGGTGGCCAACATTGCCAAACTTGTGGAGATGAACGCCGCTGATATCAAAGAATGCAAAGAGAAAATACAAGCGGTGGAAAAAGAAATACCCCGTATCGTTAAAGAAAAGCAGAAGCTAAAGGAAAGAGTAACAGAGTTAGAGAGATACAAGAGGCGCTGGAACCTCAAAATACATGGCCTGAAAGAAAAAGACGATGAGCACACCCGAGACGTAATCATCAGTATTCTGTCCGAAATCGCTCCGCAGTGGGCCTCATCGATGGAAACAGTGGTCGATACTGTTCACCGCCTCGGAAGATGAGAAGAAGGGAGACCCCAACAGATTATCATCCAGTTCGCCATGAGGCATCACCGTGATGCCATCTGGAAACTGTCCAAAAACTCCAAGGTCTGCAAAAATATCGGAATCCACTTCAAACAGGACTTCTGTAAAGCTGATAGAGAGGCACACGCTGCTGCATGGCCGAAGATGGAGCAAGCCAGAGCGGCAGGGAAGAATGTCTACTACAGAGGACATGTGGGCTACATCAACGGTAACAGGGTTACTCCAGACTAGATAAAATCTAAAACATGTCACCCTCTTCATGCTCTCACATCGTTGAGAGCCTCATCCCAGGAGGGGTTTACTAATATTTACAACTCAGACATTTGTACATTGTTCACTTTACAAAAAGGCGCATATATTGCTGTGCAGTTTAAAAGAAGAAAACAAACCTGATTCACCATAATATGTTAAAGAGAAGGGGGAAAGTATTTTAAGTTATGTTTACACTAGACTGTTGAATACCTCCTCTCAAATGAAGGCATGCACTTCAAAGTCAACATTTTTATGAGAGTTTATTTTTTTCTTTGCAAATTTAGATCAAGGTGGTTAAAGTTAAGCTGCCATAGGTATATTTTGATACACTTTACAATTTAAGAATAAGAAGGTTTCAATGTTTTGACATTGGTTAAGTACAGGTAATTACAGGTGTTCACAGTATATATTCCTTGCTGTCAGGGGCTTCATATAACGTTCTGTTAAGAACTCACATACATACGTACCTAAACTTTTGTCCCTATTTTTGTCTTACTTTTTTATTCTATTTTCTCTATGTCTTTTCTGAAATCCATGTTATCCTTTCTTTCACTTAATGCTAGGGGGTTATTCTATAAAAAGGAAATCAACTTCAACTGTTTTGTAAAAATGAAAAAGCACAGTGCTATCTTCTTCAAGAAACTAACTCTAACAACACAGATGAAATGTTTTGGTCAAATCAGTGGGGAGACAAAATAGTCTTTAGCCATGGCACAAATAGGTCAGCAGGTGTCGCCATACTCTTAAATAATTTTCCTGGGAAGGTGGTAACTACCAAAAAGGATGCTTATGGTCACTGGATAATTTGGGTGGTTGAAGTGGAAAAATTTAATTTCGGAAATGACAATTGCTATTAAAGATCTAGGCCAAAGATATCAAACTGAAAATTTCATATTTGGAGGAGATTTTAATATGATGATTGATGAGTGGCTTGATAGAAATCCTTCAAAATATCAGGGGCACCATTACAACCCTATTTTACTTAAGTTTTGTAATATATTTCAACTAAGAGATGTATGGCGCACGCTTAACCCTGATAGCCAAACCTTTACTTGGTTCAAATCAGATGGTTCAGTTAAATCTAGATTAGATTTCTGGCTTCTGTCAGATACTGGGTCTAACTTGGAGACCAATTCCACAATCTCCACTGCACCTTTAACAGATCACTCCTTGATTAAACTTATTCTTACTCCTACAAATGCAAGTCAAAGGAATAAAGGGTATTGGAAGTTCAATTCGAGCCTTCTTAAAGAGGAACCATTCTGTCAAGAAATTATTTCAGTAATCAGTGATATTAATAAAGACTGCAACTTAACAAATTATAGGGAGAAATGGGAATTCTTAAAATACAAGGCACGTCAAATCTCCATATCAAACAGCAAAAAATTAATCAGAGCTAGTAAAAAAAGGGAAATGGAAATTGTAAAGGAAATCAACAAAATTTCTAATAAACATATGTTAACTGTAGATGACAAACAAAAACTGATCCTTCTGCAGTCTTTACTGGACAGCATTTACATTAATAAGGCCAAAGGAGCATACATCAGGTCGAGAGCGAAGTGGATAGAGGAGGGTGAAAGGAGTTCTGCCTATTTCTGTAGATTGGAGAGAAAGAGAAAAGAACGAAATACTATAAAAACTCTATTAATTGATAACCAAGAATGTACGGATCCTAATAAGATCTCTAAGGAAATCTTTCAGTTTTACAGTAAATTGTACTCTTCCTCTTATTCATGTACAGCTGCTGATGCTTTCTTCGAGCTCACTAAAGAATGGATCCCTAAAGTCGACGAGTGTTTTAAAGATGTATGTGATGCTGGAATCAGAATGGACGAAGTTGAAAATTCCTTAGACAAGTCTCCAGGTTCAGATGGTCTAACAAGTAACTTCTATAGACACTTCTGGGAACATCTGAAAGACCTCTGTTTCAACATGTTAAACGAAGTTTCTGAAACTCTAACTCTACCAACTACAATGAAGCAATGAATCATCACCCTCATACCCAAACCTGGTAAAGACCCCAAGCTAATTGACAATTTTAGGCCCATAACCTTACTTAACAATGACTATAAAATCTAAAGACTAAAAACTGGTATCACTCAAATCATTTCAGACACACAATCGGGGTTCATAAAAGGACGATCAATTCACAATAACATACGACTTGTACTTGACTTACTTGATTACAATAACTTAATTGACGATGATGGTTTTATCCTTTTTCTTGACTTTTTCAAAGCGTTTGATGTGATTGAACACAAATTTATGTTTCGTACCCTAGAACAATTTGGTTTTGGTGAAAAATTTCAAAATATAGTGAAATTACTGTATAAAGACACTAATAGTACTGTGTTGTTACTGGCGTATCTCCAAGGTTTTCTATTGACAAAGGCATTAAACAAGGCTGCCCCATCTCCCCTCTGCTCTTCATCGCTGCAGCAGAAATGCTTTCCATTCTGGTTAAACATTCAGATTTCGAATAATTAACAGTGCTAGACAAACAACTAACTATCAGCCAACTGGCTGATGACACGACTATATTTATGAAAGACAGTGACCAAATTCCTAAGGTTCTTCACACAGTTCATTTCTTCTTTTTTTGGGCGTCTGTTGGTCTTCCGCATTTGCGGGTTTGTGAGTCATATTTTTGTAGTAGTTTGTAGTAATTTCTTTATTTCTTTTTTTCTTTCTCCCACCCCTATTGGCGACTGGGGTTCTTGCCTGCCTGTTGCTGGGGTCGGTGTAGCATAGTGGTGGCGTCCCACTCTCACTAACAACTACATTCTTTAACAGGCTTATGCACACACACACATATAGACACATTCACCCACACGCACACACACACACACACACATATAGACACATTCACCCACACACACACAGACACACAGTCTCACACATAGACACAAACAAATTTAGGTTGTCCCTGGTAGAATTATTCCTGATGCTTTTCTTTCAGTTACTTATTTAAATTAATTATTATTCCAGCTCTCATGGCTGTGCTGTGTTGCTTATTTAGTGTGTGTGACTGTTTCTTGTTTTCATTTTTCTCTTAGTTGTCTTACTATGTCAGCTGTTTATTGCTGCTGTTCGGCTGGTTGTCTTTTAATATTATTATTATATTTATTGTTTGTTTGTTTTTGTTTGTTGTTGTTTTTCTCCTCCCCAAGCCCCCTCTCTGTTCTATTGCAGGTTTCGTTGCTTTCTGCAACTGGTGTTTTCCCCCTGCTTTTCCCTGTTGTCCCCACCTTCCATCCCCCTTCTCTTACAGGTCTTGTCCTTTCTCTGTGCTGTCTGTTTGTGACAGAAATAGCCTTTTTTATTACAAAAACATATTTAATTTTAGTCATTTTTGGTCCTTCATAGTCTCGCCTTAAACTAAATATACAGCAGCTATTAAAAAGATCTTATCACAGTGCACAGTTTCTTAAATATTTGAAATTCTGAGTAATTGTTTAAAGATAAGAAGAAAGCAAGTAAATCTAAATTCCACTTGCAAGGACTCACTCTGTTTGGACAAACCCTGAAGCCTTTCCAACTCTTTAGTCATTTCAACGAGGCTGTCATTCAGCAGGTCTTTCTCTTCCATCAGGGAAGAAAGCTTGGTATTACTGGTCTGGAGACGCTCCGTGAGGTTGTCTTTGATAGTGGAGAGTTTTGCGGCTGAATAATGGTCTGAAATGAATCAAAATACATCACATTTATGTTTCTTAAGTCAAATGCCATTTTAACTATTCAAATGCATGTTTTTCATTTAATTTAATTACAGCTTCTAGGTTCATTTTAAAGCCAACAGCTAAAGATTTCCGCATATGTTGAGCAAGTTATTTAGAGCAAAAAATACTTTTTGTATCCTGCTACTTTATGTTGGCTCAGGGACAAACTTATGCATTAAAAAAGCCTTGCAGTTTGACACAACACAAGTACATAATAGGTGGTCCCTGGCCCTGCTTTTTTTTATCATAACAGGTACAATAACATTTTATCATAACAAAAACAAGTTCAATAATTGGTTCCAAATTATTGGCATACAGTATAAGGAAAAGCAAAATGTGCATAATGGAGCTAAAGGAAATGTTGCGATAATTATTTAATTGTATGTTTTAGACCAATAAGTAAGTTTAACACCCTGTTCTATTAAAAACCCACAACTTATGGGATGTTTCTTTTGGGGGTACTGCTTTACATGCAAAGTTAAAGTTTTGAAGTAGGCTACTGTACAAATACAAGGGAAAATGTTTTTTTCTGTTATTACTGTAGTTTTATAGAGCATCACTGAAACAAATCCAGGTAGACATCCAAAGTAGAAAAGACACTGTTTAAAACTTTCATGCTTGATATCAAAGAATTCAGTGGGAATATTACAAAAAGCAAGAACTGAAGACAAAAAAATTATCAAGAATACATAAGAAACTTAAACTTCTGAATGTGAACCAAACTCACAGTGGACACCAAGGTAGATGAGCCCAGCCAGCAGGAAAACACTCAGCAGCCCCAGAGAGAGAACAGCTCCGTGAAATCTTCTCTGTGAGCTCCTGGGACCTGAACACAGAGAAGACCAGTGAATACAGTCAATGAGACAACAATAGTAAAGAGAACTCATTATTCTTACCTGTCTGATTTTGTGATGGCTTTGAGTCAACAGATTTGTCATATTCAACATTTACATAGATTTCCTCCATCACTCATAAGAATGCTAAATATTTTGTGGAGGGTCAACTCTACAGCACAAGTTACATGTAGCCTAAATGAGGAAACTCTAGTTGTTCTCTTGTTTTGAATTTCAGGTATCAGGAAATCCTGCCTCAAAGATGCTAAAAAAAAGTTGCAATAGTGCAATATTCGCCATATTGCTTGAGACAGGAAGTCAAAAGCTAGATTGGCTTCATGTTCATAAGAAAGACTATATTAGAATTAAGTAATTTTCAAGAATATTTCACTTTACAGGTTCCTATAATGTGTTATACATTTTAGACCCTCACACCCCCGTTCGCAGCATTGATAAAAATGCCAGTATTTCAACCAAGGTTCTCCCGATCTACTTTCGATCTTCGTTACTCCTGACCTGGTGCCACTGCATTACGCAAGCCATTTTTGAATCCCGCAAATCTCTATTTCCCTGTTCTCTGTTTCCTTGCGACTAATCCTGTCTGTCTGCCTTTCCCCAGGTTCACTCACCTCCGTCCACCGTCGTGTGAGCTGGGCTCGCCTATCTGCCCTCTTCCCTCGGACATCCTCCCGGCTCCTCCTCGCCAGTCTGCCTGCCACCACACCCCTCCATCAACCTCTGTGGTCAGTTCTCCTGTGCCACCTCTCCTCCTCGGTCCCCGGTGCCCCTCGGCTCCCTCGCCTGAACCTCCTCAGTCCTCCATGCCCGCGTCCCCGGCGTCCACCTTTCCCTCATCACCACTCCCTCAGCCCCCTTTCCCTAAATACAGTAAACCTGTTTGAAACTGAGTGTTGCGTTTGAGTCCGTTCTGTCCTGTAACACTTTTTACAAATGTGTGATCATACTTGTAGACTTATAGGTGCTGTGCTTATCTTGATGGCTATAGTTCTAAGTTTATTGTCATAGTGTCTCTCTGTGATTTGCATATGTGCAAAACTCATCTTTTCAACTTTCTCAGTTGCTTTGGCACATGCAAAATATTACTGTAAAGCCAGTTGTCTTTTTCAGTAATCTAGTTTCACAAAAAACATAGTAACATGCTCATCCTCAGGTTTTAGTGAAATTTATCAAATGTTGTCAAATTTAATATACAGTTGCAACTCCTCAGTTATCATTTCTCAAACACATTTACACTGCAGGCTTTTAAACTGAATAGACCTGCAGACATCAGAAAGAGAGAACAAGCTTTTCATTCAGAAGTAAATGAAAGACTATGTCACAGCAGAAACATGTAGGTGATGGTTGCATCATACTAAAAAATGTTTGAACTGAAAAGCTCTGTCCAAATAGGAATTTTTGAATGGCCAATAAGGTGGTTGGGCTGATTGACTTTTTTTTTACCTCTAAATAGTTGAGCTAATTTGGCTAATATACAGCTAATATAGCGCTGTGATGGCATCACAGGTGAAGTTACAGGTGACTTTAAACTGACTAAGGTAAGAAAAATTAGGATCTCTGCATATTCACTCACAACAAATGAGTCAATGCATCATAAACAGATTTCTCTTTATTAGATAGAAGAATGCTTATTAAATATTGTGAGCAGCAAGATCTTATTTGAATCCTGAACCCCATGTGTCTGCAAACTGCATGAAAAACGAAAACAAATGTCATCAGTGAACACATTTTCACTGCATTTTCAGTCTCAAAAAGTTGGTAAAATTCATCTAAACATCGGGAAAATCTTTAATAGATATAATGATAATAATAATAATAATAATTATAATAATAATAGATAGTGTATAGTAAATTACAGTGTAGTTAGTTTTAACACTATAAGGAAATTAGGATGGCACTATTCTTCTCCTTTTATTTTTGGGTAAGTGACCCACCTGGTGTGTCCCTTTCCATGCAACATCATACTAATAATACTATAAAATAGCAATGTTCATCATGTTTATAAAATCATGTTTTGATTTAACATTTTTGTGTTGGCCTTAGTAAGTAACACTTTTGGACTTGGTGTTTTCTTCAGTCTATGAGTAGGATGTACCTCAAAGAGGAGATTTGAGGGTTTAAAAGGTCAGAGATTCAAGACCAAACACTGAGATGTTAAAATCAGTTCTTTGCTGAACTGGAAGCCAGTGAAGAAAGGTCAAAACATCAGAAAGGCTCATTAACACTAACATCTAAGAGATTACAGCTGTCTAAATGACATGAAATGAAGGCTCTTCTGAAGATATGCAGATTTCCAGAAGTCATCATCTGAGCTTATTAAGCTTTACAGGTGGAGGGTGGAGAGTCTGTAGCCCAGACAAGCCCATTCGTTGGTCATCTCCATGAAGCCTGGGGGGGAGGTGAAGCCGCTCACTAGAATCCAAACATTCATTCACAAACACAGATGGATGGAAATTAGATCCTTACACATTCATACCAAATATTTCATTAATCCTTAATCATTAACATGCATACGATTCTCAATCTTATATTTTTAATCAAAGCGGTAGCACAGCAATTTGTGATGTGAGAAAAAAAAAGTATAATAGGTGTCAGACTTTCAGATCATAGATCAGAGAGCGGCATGCACGGCACGATGATTAATGTCTGTATAAGATAAAGCATTTCTGGTTGTTCATTCACCTGCCAGCAGATTGTAGAGGTTGCAGTAGTTGAGGCCACCATCAAGAAGACTGGTGAAACAGAGAGGATCTGACCGGCCCTGGTTTAATGATAAAAAAATAATTAATATAAATTTTGCACTCAAAGTGCATGGCCCAGGACCGGAGGGCTGTGCAGTGGGTGATTAAAAGTGCTCACAAGATCATTGGTACCCATCTCCTGTGATATCGATGAGGTGTGGTGCCTATGCAGAGCCCAAAGGATACTAAAGGACAGTACCCACCCAGCCACAGCCTGTTCACCCTGCTGCCTTCTGGGAAAAGATGTAGAAGTTTCTGCTGCCACACCACAAGACTGAAGAGCAGCTTCTTCCCCCCCATGCTATCAGACTCTTAAACTCTAATTCATCCTCAGCACTGCTCCATTGATCATTGAATATTGTTTATTTCTGTTTTCATTTTTACAATTGCTTCTATATTTATGTTAATTGTCTGCTATGTAGCAGTTACAAACTCAAAACACACTCTATAACCTGTTATATTGTGACAAAATAAATCTACTATTATTAATCACTAAATCATTTAAAGAGGATGTATTATGCTCATTTTCAGTTTCAAAATCTTATTTAGGGGTTGTACCAGAACAGGTTTACATGGTTTAATTTTCAAAAAACACCATATTTTTCTCATACTGCACATTGCTGCAGCTCCTCTTTTCACCCTATGTGTTTGTACGCTCCGCTCTTGAGCTACAGAGTGATGCATCTTACTTGTACAAAATCTTTGTTGGGTGTTGCACATGCGCAGTTCCCAGGTAAGGACTACTAGCAAATCAAGCAGAGAAGGTGTAGTGTGATCCAAATCAAAGCCGCTTCAGACTGCAACCGTAACCTAGAAGATGGCATAAGTTATTCACAAGTCCACAACCACACAACATCATTGTTCCACATCTTACAATAAATCACTACAAAAATCACCATATTTCAACTCAATTTGACATAAAAATTGGCTAAACAATTTGAACGTTTGCTCAGTAGCTTTCACATCAGGTGTAACATTAGCATTATAGCTATAACTTTAGTTGTGTTAGCTAACGTTTACAACAACTCCGCACTTGAACAGTCTGTGAAGTTACATTGCCGTGTTTATTTTAAATATAATTCACAACCAATAAAGCATACGTATGTCATAGCGACGGCACACACAACTGTGAAAAATGTTCAATGCGACACACACACCAGCGATCCACACAGCTTTCTGTTTTTTAAGTTAAAACGTTTCAACATTCCTTAGAATGTAAAGACGGATAAGCGGTATGAAAACCAAAATTGTAAAATATAAAACTTTCTGTTGCTGGCCTCTGTCTGGCGCACGCAATGATGATGCAGTGAATAGTGAATATTCTATCTGACCAATCAGCAGTCTGTTGTGAAGCAGGTACAGGTGCAACATTTCTACAATGGAAAACCAAACAAAGGCGAGTTGAGCCAAAGGGCCTCCGCTCAGACTAGCTTGGTTTGAGAGCATGCCTGACCCCGCTAGCTGCTTGGTCAAGCTTTATGACGCGTTTTCATTGTGACGTCACAAGTAAAGGAAGTGAAGGGCTGGACTACAAATGAGCTGTTTTCAAGCGGTTCAGAGCAGTGCTTTCTGTGGGAGAGGGGAACTCCCTTTGGGCTGGACTTTGGGCTTTTTCACTTTGCAAACCTGTTACATGCACAAAAAAGAAATATAACTCAGTAAAGGAGAGGGGAAAAGCCAAAAAGCATAATACCACCTCTTAAGTGAGTAATCCCACATTCAAGCCAAGGATTTCCTCGGTTGCTGTCAACCTTGATTTGTCTATTTTAGCTGCATCAGTAGCTTTTTGACCCCACATAATGTGGGAGCCCACAAACTCTAAAATAAGCAATTAAGCCTGAAGTTATATTAGATATTAAAATTATAAACATTATGTAAGCAATTTACTGCAATATTCTGTATTTTTTTGTCAATACATCCCATGAAAAGACCAAAACCAACAATGAATACATTCTGTGTCGCTAAAGCCTGTTTAGTTAAGAGTATTATCAGCATGATCCTTTATATGGTTATTGATTATTGATTTATTAACAATTATTACAGTTAAATAATTACATAAATGTCATTCATAACATATAACGTTTTATATATTAAAATATTTTAAAGCTACAATTTGACAAATATACTAGTATGTTGATTTACATTCTCCTTATATAATGAAATTTAATGTTATAAAATGAGCATCACTGATACTTACAGACACGCGGCAGCCACTGGTCAGTACAGTGGGACTGAAGGTGACGCTTATATTCTCAGCCTGAAGGCCGTCTGCAGATGTGTAGTTGGCTTTGATAGTTAGAGGGGTGGCTGATACAAGCTGGAACAGACAACAACAGAAATATGATTCATTGTTATACTAAATGTGATTTATTTTACATTGTTAATAGAAATAGACAAATACCATCACATTTGTTCTTTGGAACAGATTTCTTTAAATTCTTCCCACCTGTCACATCATTTACTATTGACAGAAGACTGGTTCTTACTGTATACTGACCACTCATAAGGCTTCA